TTAAAATAAATTGTTTTAAATTTGTTTTACAACAAGCCAGATCTTTCTTATCAGTAAATACATTGGCTATGTTGAGTGTATACATTGGCTATGTTGAGTGTATAACTTCATTCTGTCTTATACTTTATTTCTGTTTTCCAGAAGCATTGTGAGCAACCACACTCACGTCCGTGAATAGCAAACCTAAGGGAATTTGTAAAAACAGGCTATTTGGTGCCCATATGGCGATCTGAAACAAGAGCTTTTGCACCGCACGGCTCCAGGACACTCACCTGTACTCTCAAACTGCTGAAATCAGCTGCAAGGGCTTAGTCATGCAGATGAAACCAACCCGCTTCAGCAAGGGCAGACATTGTCTCTTGGCTTGTGAACAAGCCTGCAGCTGCTTGGAACAGACCAGCTGTTGGGCAGAGACCTGCACATGGTAAACAGCCCAATGACCCCAATTAACACGCTCCCCAACTGGTGTGGTCACGTAAACCATAATAAATAATATCAGCAGTTGCTTTACAGACTGACTCTACCCTGCAACAGCACACTAAAATGTGCACCAAGTGCAGACACAAGAGGAGATGAATGGACTCATTAACTCATGAAAGCAAATTCCCAGATCTGTGTCTGATGTTAGTCCACTGAGAACATGTCAGTCTTGGATCCTCCCCAAGATAAGGATCAGGCAAGTGTACGGTTTGGGGGTTGTGTGATAATATTCCCCTGCCACACACAGAACCACCTTCGATGCAAAGCACAGAACGGACATATTTTAATTCTTATTTTTATTAGTACATGTTTGCTGTACATAATGACTATATTCCATGTTGGTACATGTACATAACACATCTTAGTTCTGTTTTGTTTATTTTGTTTTGTTTTATTTACATCAGAGTCTTACTATGTAATTCAGAATGGCCTTGAACTCAATACGTACCCCAGACTGCCCTTGAAATCACAATGATCCTCCTTCCTCAGTCTCCTGAGTGCTGGGATTACAAGCATGTACCACTACGCCCGGCTTTAATTCCTTTTTCATCCCCTTCCCCTCCCCCACAGAATGGAAATTAAAACGTCAGACTGCGTCTCTGCAGTGGAAACCATTCCACCTCACATCCCAGGCTGGACCTTGGGTCACTGCTGCCTTACAATGGGTCTGGGCACAAAGAAAAAAATACAGAGCAAATAGCCTTTGGATAGATTTGGATAGATTTTCTCTGCTTATAGCCTTTGGATAGACTTGCTGTTTCTTTGGAATTTTTTTTTTTTTCTTGCCTTTTTGAGACAGGGTCTCACTATGAAGTTCAGGCTGGCCTTGAGCTCTTTGTAGCTCAGGCTGGTCTCAAACTCACAGCAATCCTCCTGCCTCAGCCTCCCGAGTGCTGGGATTACAGGCGTGCGCCACCACGCCCGGCTGACTTGCTGTTTCTTGATGAAGATAAACCAGTGGGTGGCACCTCCCATAGCACAAGGGGTGGCCAAAAACTTAAACTGAGTAAAGTGCATGCTCATGTTTTGCAAAGCTAATGAGAAATACTATCTTCCATTCAGTTTGGACTGTCAAAAAGAATATGCACGGAAGTCGAAGGTAGTGACACTTACAATGTATCTAGCTGTCTGTACACTGAACCAAGACAACATTTTTAAAAGTTTTTTTTATTACTGTATGTTTGTGATATATACTCAGTTTAACTCTGAATGGCTTCCAGAGGATCACTTACCCCAGTTCCCTTACCCCCATCAGACAGGAATCTTGGCCAATTCCCACTGAGACCAGGGGACAGGCAGAAGATGGAAGCCACAGGACATCCTCATACTGCATGTCGCCGACATTCGTGGGCAGGGTTTGACTGAAATGCCTTCCTCTGGAAAGCAATGAGGAAAGGACGGGCAAGAGGCCCAGGGCATTACCTGGCAGAAATCTGTCACAGACAAATAGCCTGGGAATAACCACTACCCTCAGCAGCAGCAAACTAGCCAGAGAAGTGCCACACACTGCCTCCTCTCCCCCCAGGCATGCCTTAGGATTCCTGTTCTCCCAGTAGTTCATCATATGTGTGAGAGAGACAGACCAAGAAACACGAAGGAAATGTGAGGACGGGAGATACTGCTCAGGGACAGAGCATTTGCCTAATATACAGGGTCCTACGTTTAAAGGGGGGAGCAGGGGCTGGAGATTTAGCTCAGCGGCACAGCACCTGACTGGCAAGTGCGAGGTTGTGAGTTCGATTCCCAGTACCACAAAAAACAAAAACAAAACAACAACAAAAAAGGTGGGGGGGAGCATGGCGGTGCACATTTGTAATCGCAGGACTCAGGAGGCCAAAACAGGAGGATTGCTATGAGTTTAAGGCCAGTCTGGGCTACACAGTGAGTTCAAGACCAGCCTGAACTATTTAGGGAGACCATGTCTCAAAACAAAACAAAACAATCCAAAAAAACAAAAAAGGAAATTCAGCAGATTTCTTGAGCCAAACCCCACACCAGGTTCTACCAATAGAAAGATACATTCATATTCAAGGTGACCAAAGAAAGCTACGTCCTGGGTAAGACCCCATCACTATCCCATGATGAGCCTTGAAGAGTCTTGTGGTATGAATATTCAACTACTTTGGGGAATAAACAGCAAATCTTATTCCGTGGAGTCATTCCTCCCTACTAAAGTACATTCCAGGCACAACATCCTATCTTCCTGGGATTCTGTAGAGAAGGAAACAAATTTATGCTCCTCCCTCATGACAGCTCTGCTCTGGAGAACACCCTATGCAGCTCTACTTCATCAGAGAGAATCCTGGATGATCAAAGTCCCTTCTATTCCCATGATTCTTCTGGAGCTCTCTTAGTCACTTTGATTTTTTGCTCTCCTAAATTTGATGTCCTTTCAGCTCCTTGCTCAGATAGCTAGATCCCGCACAGGTACTCTCGCTTTTAGAAAGTTTGGCTTGCATCCTTAGCAGGCTGGGCTGAGTGCCTTGTTGTGCCCTTGGCACGTGCTGGAGCTTCTATCAGCAAATCCATCTCACTTAATTCCTCACTTTAGGGCATGGGCAGTTTCTCATGGAACTTTACACCTCCTCCACCAAGCACAGTACTTGGCACAGAACAGACATTGAATAAATGTGTGTTGCACTGAATAATCCTGCCATTCAAAATGATATCAAGTAGCCAGGCGTGGTGGCACCCACCTGTAATCCCAGCACTCGGGAGGCTGAGGCAGGAGGATCGCTGAGAGCTCGAGGCCAGCCTGGGCTACAAAGTGAGCTCAAGTTCAGCCTGAACTGCATAACGAGACCCTGTCTCAAAAAGACAAAAGAAAAAACAAATGTTATCAAGTTAGTTCTTAGGAAACCTCAAACCTCAAAATGCCACAGACAGACTAAGGGTAAAAGCAATGTAGAGTAGGCCGGTGTGGCCTGCAAGCTGTTTCTCAGTACTTCTCTGGCCTGCAGATCCCCTCGGGGAAGGGCCTGGATACTCAGGTTCTGGGACAGTTGCTGCAGGCCTCGTGTCTCCCACTCCAAACTTCCCAACACAGCTTTCCTTCCAGAGAACTCCAGCTTCAGAGTAGGAGGTAAGCCCTTTGCCTGAGGAGAGCGTGAGGCCTTGAATGTGTGGATTCATGCCTTTCAAGTTTATAAATGTCCAGCGAAGGAGTCTCTGAATGCAGGGTGTGCATGACTACGATGCTGCCATCATACTGCCTGCTACACTGCAAGGCACAAGGGCGGTCAGTCATTCACTCAGCAACTATCCCTTGGGAATCTGTGGTGGCAAGTTCACTAGGCACTGAGAAGTAAGAGTGGAAAACAAGCTCCTCTGAGCGGGGCTAACAGGAGATGCCATTCTTAACTCCTAGAAGGGGGGTGGTGGGCCTTTCCCAGTCCCCCTTCCCTACAGTCCTTGAAGTCTTTCTAGCCAGACCTAGGAAAGCACTTGGTGACTTGAACCAACAGAAAGATGTCTTGTCAGTTCTGGCCGCTCCAAGTCCCAAATCCAGGTGTCAGTGCAGGAACAACCTTTTGGGGCGGAGTCTTCCTTGCTTGTTTCTAGCTACCGCTTGTGGCCAAGGATCCTCTGCGTTCCCGGGCTTGCAGCTGCTTTAAGCTCCGCCTCTGTCCTCACGCGGCCTTCCCTCGCATTTCTGTCTTCACACGCATTTCCCAGTCACGTTGACTAAGAAGGGTCCGCCCCAATGACCTCGCTTGATTACATCTGCAAGACTATTTCCAAGTAAGATCACAGTCGCTGGCACTGGAGGTTAGGACTCCAACATATCTTTGGGAGGGAGCGCGACTCAACAGCACCACATTCCGCACAGGGTGTAGTTTGGACATCCAGCCAACCTCCTTCAACCCGGGGAGACGGAGCTGCTGGCGGGCAAGGGCTTCACAGACCTTGGCCATGGCCCCAAGACTGCAGCCAGGGGTAGGATTTCCAGGCAGCCGAAGCCCTCCCTTTGCCTCACGCCTTCTTCAGAGTTTCCATCCCCACACCCCCTGTCATCGGTCCTTCAACGTGAGCCAATCGTGTTACATAATCGTGAAACCTAAAATTAAAATAAGCACAAAGGGTGGAGCTGAAGAACTTAGAGGAACAAGAGGGAAGAGGGTGGAGGGGCGGAGACACCTAACCTGATGTGATGCCAGCTGCGCGCTGTGTCCCGCAGCGAGGTGCACCCTGCCAGTGAGGCTGGAACCCAGGCCGCGGAGGTGGCGAGGC